GGCTTTTAACCCTTGCTTAACTCTGCTCGAGTGATCATAAAGATAGACTAAATGAGGCACGTTGTTCTCCTGTCTCCTCCTGTAGAGGGCACTTTTTAGAGGCTTTTTTAAACAGTTATGCACTAAGCAGAGTCATCCACTGTGACTCTGGCAGCAACCTCAACCTTTTTCCTTTTACATTTTTTTTCTTTTCATGATGACAGTGGTGAGGCTCTGCCTCCCTTGACTGCACATCCCTGGTGGAAATTTTAACCTAAACAATCTGAAGCAGCTTAGAATATCTAAAGAATGATTTCCTAAGGGTTTCTATCAGGTGCATGCACATACATAGGACAGGAAGAGAGAGACTTGCTACTCCTATCCTGATGAGATTACTCTAGTGTTTTAATTATTTTTTTAAATACCATCAAGTAGAGTGTAGGAACACAGAAGTGCCAACTTCAAAGGACCTCTTCAGCCCAGATAGTATTGTCTGCTTTGGCAGCACTTGTCTTTTTTTCCCCTTCTTTCCAAACATGAGATGCTACAAATGGAACATGGATTTCCTACAGGTAATCTGAGTTGTGCCAGCCTCTCTCACTCTCATGTTTCTCTTTTTCCTCACTGATCCAAGGATACCGAGAGAAAACTAGGGCCGTAAGACAGAAAGTATGCAAATGTTTTCATACCTTTACAAGCTGCACATTCTGGTGACTTAATTGGCTCTGAGGCAACTTGTCCTTCTGGGTTATCCAGGGATGTTGGAGTACCTGTTTAGCAGTCAAACGCTGATGTGGATCAACATGGAGCATCTTGGATACTAAATCCTGCAGTAAGTATTGAGAAAACATAGCTGCTGAATATCTTTTTTCCCCTTGCCAGTTTCTTGGCTACAATGAAGGAGACAGTGCTGCTTCTTGGTTAATTTGAAAGTTACTTCCAGGTTTGTCATATCTGGCGACAACAATGTCTAATTAGCCAATACTAATAAATTCCTTCCTTCCTTCCTTCCTTCCACTACATTTGGACATCACATCTGACTCTAATCCATGGCTTGTTCTTTACAAAGCAAACAGAAGCCAGGATTTGTTCTCTAAAATCGCCAAAGGGAGTCTCTAATTTGTTTAGGTACAAGAGACCAAAAAAGCACAATTACATGGCAGATATTGACATCCTTTTCATTCACACAAGGTGCAAACAGCCTTTTTTAGGAGCTTAAGGAATCCTCAATTTTCTTCATTAATCATTCATCTTATTTCTTGTAACCTTTTTATTGCCTAGTCAACTAACTCCAAAAATTAAATCTGAAGAGTTAGTTTTGGGTACAATGAATCCAGGGCTACTGCAGCCTGAATTAATTGCTGGCCAACTTAGAGTTAATGGAGTATTGATTTTCCCTGCTTCAGAAACAAACAAAACCCACAAAAAATGGGGTTTTACTATACACCCCTTTTTATTTTGCATCTTCCACAAATCCAGAAACCACAAATCCAACCACAGTGATGCTCATTCCAGTTGGACCAAAATAATTTTGATTTTCTTTTTTCATTTGCCAAAAAAAGGAGAGAAGATCAACCCAGGCGAACTTTGGAGCAGCTGCTGGGCCTTTAAAAAGAATTTCTACAGAAATGACCAATCGTGCACTGGCAAATCAGGCAGCTGGATCAATTGTTCTAAGAATTGTAGTCCATCATGTTATCCCAATGGAGCCAATGTCTCTGGTTTTCTATCTCAAAAAGAAAGTGAGTGACTATATGAGCTTGGGGGTAAACCACAGAGCTTTATAAAATTATACATTGGGTGCAAAAAACAGACCGGAATATTTATTTAAAGAACAACTTTGCCCTCTCTCCCAAAATTCAACTCATTCAATGAAACTGAATTGTTAGCGATAAACAATTTATAGAGTTGTACAGCATAAATTAACCTGTGAGATTGGTTATCACAAGAATAAGTAAAGCTTGCTAAATTGGGCAGTTTTAGCATTCCTGGATGATGAAGTTATGAAAAACTCATAACCATGACCCCAAACTCAAAATTCCTAACTTTTAACTATATCAGAATGGTTAAAAATTACTCTCTAGAATCAATGCTCCTCATGAGGAGCGTGGATAGGAGGGTGTGATGGCTCTCCTTAGAAGCACCTGACCAGCCATTGGACAAAATGAAAGTGGACTAGATAAGCCATAGCTCCAAGCCACGGGACTCTCAAGTTTTATGACTCAAGCTGGAAGCCGCTTTATCAGTGGCTGAACCTAAGAGACTAAATCTTACTTTGGCTGCATCAGAAACAGTGTTCCAATTTCCTCCTTTGAGGGAAAACTTTCCACCGCCTATCCGGACAAGGATATCTTCAGGGGTATCACTGGGCCCGTTTGCAAATGGAGTATACCTGGAAAAGGCAGAAGGGAGCAGGGAAAATGACAATAGCCACATATTTAATACATGCAATACCATCATGTCAGAGAGAAGAGAACATCTAAAGCATGGGGGTGAGAGTAGACATGGGTAGAGAAGACAGGAGGACTGCAAATGAGGGAGATTCATTACCAACATCTCAACAGCATCCAATTCACAGAAAATCCCATTCAACTCCTGGTAGAGATTTAAGTACACATTATTTTCACTGTAAGGTTTGGTTATTTTTTTTAAAAATCACAGAGATCCACACATATGCTCAGTGGAAGCCGGGATTCTCAGGAGACAAACCAAGACAGACTCTGAACTGAGAGATTTCACAATTCATTATAATTATGAGCGTGTAATAAGTCACAGTGCCCTATTATGGAGCTGAATCATACGGTCTAGTCTGTTAATGATTGGTTGGGAATGGAAGATTTGCTGTGGGGCAAAGAATTGGCCAGGCTGACCTTCAGGTTTGTTACAGTTCTCCAGTTTAACAGCAATTGCCAATAAATGCCTGTAGCAGCTTGGAAATGTACAAGCATTTTCTAATTTTTAAGCAATGTTATAATGAGCTTGCTAGATTTTATTGATAGCCAACTTATGGGAAACCTTGCCCAAAGAGCAGAGAGGGGCTTCAAATGCCTACCTTAAGCAAATAATAATAATAATAATAATCTTCATTGGGATAGGGTGAGATTCAGATTACAATTCCAACTGAATCAATTTTTTTACTGATGGGAGAGAAAGGTTTAACATTTGTGAACTCATTTTTGTATCAGTCCCCATAACATGTTAAGCCAACTCTTCCAAATATTAATGTGTCTTGTGTGACTCTAACTACTGTAGTACATAGGGCATGATTGCTACCTACAAGTGATGTGAACCCAGCAATTCTGGCATATTCAACAAAACAAACTTAAAAGAAACCATGGCTTAATAATAGTGAAGTTCTCAGTAGCAGGGCACAATACAGAATACCAGAATTGGAAGGGACCTTGGAGAGCTTCATGTCCAACCTCCTGTCAAGCCAGAGACCCCAAACTTTTCTGGGCAAATTGCTATCCAAACTCTTCTTAAAAACCTCTAGTTATGGAACACCCATAACTTCTGAAGACAAGCTGTTAATTGTTCTCATTGTCAGGAAATTTCTCCTTAGTTCTAGGTTGAATCTCTCTTTGATAGGTTTCCAACCAGTGGTGAAATTCATTTTTTACTACTGGTTCTGTGGGCATGGCATGGTGTGGCTTGGTGGGCATGGCAGGGGAAGGATACTGCAAAATCTCTATTCCCTCCTCTTCTGGGGCCAGCCAGGAATGGCATTTGCCGGTTCTCTGAACTACTCAAAATTTCCGCTACCGGTTCTCCGAACTACTCAAAATTTCCGCTACTGGTTCTCCAGAACCTGTCAGAACCTGCTGGATTTCACCCGTTTCCAACCATTTGTCAGCTTTGGAAGCCCTATTAACATTCTTGTGCTTGGAAAATTAGGAGGGGGATTTAGTAGAGGGAATATAGTTAGATAAAATAGCATTCTTCTTTTTGGTCAAGGTCATGGTATCCTCCACCTGGAGAAGGAGTGGTTGAAGTGATGTCTTGAGTTGGGACAGATTGGGATTGGACGAGGTGATGGATTGATGGGTGCATGGGATGGGTTTGGACTTTTGACTTACTGAGGGAAAGCCCGGAAATCTCAGATTTCCCAGATGTGCCTGTATACCTACTCTAATAAACGGGAGGTTTGAGAAGATGCCTGTCTCAGAGTTTTTCTTTGGAGTTTTCCGGAACACTGACACCATTACTTCTTGCCTTGCCCTCAGGTGCTTTGGAGAATAAGTTGTCTCCCTCTTCTTTGTGACAGCCTCTCAAACATTGGAAGACTGCTATCATGTCACCCGTTAAGAATGCAGCCAAAGATTCTAATCCCTTGCTCAAACAGGAGATTCACCAAGCAATCTCAAGCTAGTCATCATACCTATTACTTGGGTTCATACGCTCTTTGCTCATCATGGGTTGATGGGTTCACATTGCGCATAAGACCATGACTCAGAATGAAGACACCATGATGGCTAGGTTCACCTAAAAGATTAAACCATAACTAAGCCATATGATGGCTTCATTCAGTTGAATTGTCTCGCCCTATCCTGTCTCACAGAAGTACTGTGAGATAAGGAGAAGCAGAGAACCACCTCTCTCTCTCTCTCTAGCATTCTTTGGAAGGAGAGCGGGTGGAATGAAAATTTAATAAAGAAATACAGTCACATTTTTTGTTCTCCCAAAAAACGCAATACATCCATCTTACCCTGCTAGCATTGTGTAGAGGAGGATTCCTAAGCTCCAAATATCACAGGCCTCATCGTAGCCTTGGCGCTTCAAAACCTAAATTAGAACCAGAAAACATGGAGACATAATTATCAACTGTAGGAAGAATGGGAAGAACACACTGACAAAAAAAGGGGGAAGCGATGAAGCTTTCTGATAGTTTTCTCGGTTCTGAAAAAACAGAAGAAATAAAAGATGCAAGGGGGACATCTCCAGCAAGAGAAAAATCTGCAGACAAACCATGAGGTTAGAAAGCAGCTCAGTTTTGAGTTTCTCCTCTCTTATCATTCCTGCACATCCTGTTCAGAAGATAATCAGTACTTGTTGGTCTTCTTTACCTTTCCTTATCCTCTTTCCATTTCCTGTTGTGTCTTTTAAGAAAAAGTCAATTCCACTAATTTCCAGCCATTGGCTGTGCTATAAGACAAGGGTGTTTTAAATACTGTGTAGTTACAAAAAAAGCAATTGGTCTAATTATGAAAAGTTTGTAAGCAGGGAGCACAACAGTCTCTACACACAACCTTCCCCATGGTGGATCTTCCAGATCAGAGATCCTCAATCCCCAGACCGTGCCCCACAACTGAGCCTTGAGCCATTCAGAACCAGGCTGCAGGCGAGCTCGTGCACACTCATTTGTGCGCATGGCGTAGCCACCCCTCACGCAAATGGAGCTGCATGCACACCCTTGTCCTCTGCTTGTGCAGAACCATCCCTTCTTTCCCCCTCCCTGGCTGGGCTGCAATGCCAGAAAGGTTGGGGAACTCTATTCCCGACGACTTCAGCTTGCAACAACAAAGATGGTTTTTTCCTAGGATAAAGTGGGAGATGCTTCACTCCATACAAAAAAAGTCCTCTTTG